TCCAGTGCTTCACCACCCTCCTAGTGAAACAGTGTTTCCTAAGATCCAACCTAGACCTCCCCCACTGCAACTTGAGACCATTGCTCATTGTTCTGTCATCTGCCACCACTGAGAACAGCTGAGCGCCATTCTCTTTGGTACCCCCCTTTGGGTAGTTGAAGGCCACTATCAAATCCCCCCTCACTCGTCTCTTCTGCAGACTAAACAAGCCCAGTTCCCTCAGCCTCTCCCCGTAAGTCATGTGCCCCTGATCACTTTCGTTGCCCTCTGTTGGGCTCTCTCCAATTTATCCACATCCTTTCTGTAGCGGGGGGGCCCAAAACTGGACACAATACTCCAGATATGGCCTCACCAGTCCTGAATAGAGGGGAATAATCACTTCCCTCGATCTGCTGTCAATGCTCCTACTAATGCAGCCCAATATGCCGTTAGCCTTCTTGGCAACAAAGGCACACTGCTGACTCATACCCAGCTTCTCATCCCCAGGTTCTTTTCTGCAGAACTGCTGCTTAGCCAGTCGGTCCCCAGTCTGTAGCAGTACATGGAATTCTTCCATCCTAAGTGCAAGACTCTGCACTTGTCCTTTTTGAATCTCATCAGATTTCTTTTGGCCCAATTCTCCAATTTGTCTAGGTCATTCTAGACCCTATCCCTACCCTCCAACATATCTACCTCTCCCCACAGCTTAGAGAACATGATTGGTTCTCTGTGTGAATTTCACTAACACAGATAAGGGTTAGGATTTAGGTTGTTAGTACAATAAACTGCATACACAAAAGTTTGCTCACCAGTGGAGACCAGCAAAAAGACCCAATTTAAAAAAAATCAGGCCTGTACTGATTAACAGGGCAGTACATTTGTAATTATGACCGAATCCCATAATTTAAAAAAGGATTTCTCAATCAAGTGTTTCGAGGCAGGATTTTTCAGAGATTCTTAATTAAATATAATTTTAGCCAGCTGCATTGTGCCTATATTCATCCCATGTTATGGCTAATCTTGCTTTGTTATGTTCATTTTTTCCCTCAAACTCTTTGTTAAGATCTTCAATGGGAACGGTAACGCAACTTGAAGGGGCTACAACACAACAAAATGTGTGTGTGCAAGGTCAGGGAGAGCTATATTCCTAAAAATAATGTGACACTCCACTTTTTGTGCTAGCAAACAAAAAATATGCCTGCAAACCTTGAGTTCTTAGAACTGATCTAAAATAATAATAAGATATACACCAGCTTTAATGTGTTAGCTATTAAATATTTCAGTGATGATTCAAGCCAGAAGTTAAGCCACCACAAAAATGAAATCTATTCCATGGTTTTCTGGTTTGGATTATTGGCTGCTTCCAATGCCATTTAGTCAGTCAGGCTACTAACAGAGTAACTGTACTGTCTTCCACAAGGATAATTTTGGTTTGACTCAAGTTCTTCCTTAGATTTTTTTGATGGGAAAAGAGTTCAGCAAAAAGTTATTTATATGAGTAAAACCAATAGCCTTTCTAGGATGAAGGCCACTAATGCGCTATGCACTTATCTCATATGGAAACAGATATATTGGCTTTCCATAGTTTTCACAAGTACACATATTAAGCTACCCCAACTTTCTGGTATCTTAACCAACCAATTAATTTCATAGCTCCTTCTCCTCCTCTAGAGACTTAAGAGCTACATGCTTTGTCCAAAAAACTGCTGAGATGTTTTTTACAATTCTATGTTTTTTAAAACATAGAAAGTAACTGCAGACATTCTGCATTCCACTTGCAAGAAAGAACATAAGAATGGCCATACTGTGCCAGACCAATGGTCCATCTAGCCCAGTATCCTATCTTCAGGCAGTGGTTGGGGCCAGATGTTTCAGAGGAAATGAACGGAACAGGGCAATTTATTGAGCGATCCATCCCATCATCACGTCCCAGCTTCTGGCACACAGAGGCTAAGAGATACCCAGACCATGGGGTTGCATCCAATGTTCCCTCTAATTTTTTTCATCCATGTGTGAAATAAATTTTGGTATGTGCAGATATGCGCCACCAGTAGAAACAAAAAACCTAGATATAATTTATATTTTAAAAAGTTACCATAGGGATAATTACTCCACCAAGGACAGGTTAGGCATTTTAGAACTCACTACTCAAAGAATTAAATTTAAATGTAAGAGAAATAATTATGGAATGCATAGATCAGTCAAAACACTAAAATAACACTCTTTGAAAGAATAAAATTAGAGCGTGAGCGTGTGAGAGTTGGCTTCTGGGGAAATCTCAGAAAATAGTGTCATGTCTCTTTAAGAAAGGCACTCAGTCACTCATCCTTCATCGCAGCAGTACCGAGTCCTGACTCAGGCTGTGTCCCCGCTCCCCTGCTTTGCAGACATGGGATACAGGGGCAGGGGCAGGGGGACACCCTGATATCAGCACCTCCCACTCCACCCAGCCAGCAGGAGCGTCCCAGGAGCAGCTACAGGACAAAGCAACATCTGGGGAGGGGCACCTGAATACATGCTGCCAGCTGTGCATGCTCTGCTAATCAGCTAGGCAGCATTTGAATCTCTCCCGGGTAGCCATGCAAGCGCGCAGCTTACAGGGAACACAGGTTGCATCCCTGATCATCTTGGCTAATAGCCATTGATGGAGCCATGAATTTATCTAATTCTTTTTTGAACCTGCTTATACTTTTGGCCTTGCAGGGTGTAACCATGAAACACTATGTCTAGGAGCCAATGGTCTGAGGTGACTTGGGACGAGGCCGAACAGAAGGGACAAAGACAGTTGAGGAAAGAGTGGGGTGGATCCTGGAAGGTGACTGGGGCAACGCTCTCGACCACACCTTCAAAACAAGGGCTTCTGGCCCCCGGAGTGTTTTGTGGATTGGGCTGCATGAGTGAGCGGGTGGAAGATAGATGACAGCATTTCTGTCCCTTCTTGCAGGTCCCTGTTGAGACTGCCCAGTTCTGGCCACTGCCTAGGCCTTCTTTGTCACAGGCTGCGGCGTATGTATGCCCAGCGAGCGAAGGGTGGCCCTGGTGTCCTTCAGCCCAAGCAGCCTCGCATCCTTCTAGTCTGAAGAAAGACCATTCCTATCGAATGGGAGGTGTTGGATGGAAGTCTGCATTTCCTGGGAGAGACCTGCAGTCTGAAGCCAGGAGCTGCGCCTCATCACCACTCCTGACGCGACCACCCTGACTACCGAGTCCACCACATCCCATGCCATCTGGAGGGAGCACCTGGCAGCCAAACCATGTGGAAGGGACTCCTTGAAATTATGAAGGGAGTCCCATAAGTTAAAGTTGTAACGGCCAAAGAGAGCCTGATGGTTCGCCACCCAAAACTGCAAACTGGCCGTCAAATAAATCTTTGTCCCAAACAGATCCAACCATTTGGCATCTTTATTCTTGGGCTCAAACTGGTATGCCCCTGCTTGTCTCTTTCACTGGCCGCAGAGATCATCAGTGAGCCTGGGGGAGGGTGGCTATAGAGGTTCTCAAACCCCTTGGCTGGGACAAAGTACTTCTTTTTGGCCCTCTGAGGTGGGAGTAATGGAAGAAGGAGTTTGCCAGAGACCCTTGGAAACCTTAAGGACACTACTGTGCACTAGTAGCGTGACATGGGTTGGAGTGGAGGCTGACAGAACATTAAACAAGATGTATGTCTGTTCAATCATTTCTTCCACCTCCAGGCCCAAGTTCTCGGTCACCCGACACAACAGGGCCTGGCGTTCCTTGAAATCATCCAGCAGGCTTGCCCTCAAGGGTCCGGCAATCACCTTATCTGGGGATGCGGACGATGATTGCACCACCTTAGGGAGGTTCCCCCATGGGGGAGGGAGGCTTGGGGTAGGCACTGTTCCTTTTGCTTTGACCACTGGCTGTGCCTTGTGCACTGAGCCCGGTGCCATCAGTGATGCCAGCTGCTGCTCTGAGGTGGCAGCTGATGAGTGGTGAAAAGGGGGCATCGGCATAACCGGCATTCCTCATGTGCCTCAATAAGGCCACTGGCTGTGCTGCCAAGTCAGCGTCGTTGAAGCGGCCTTGGGTGCCTATTCGTGCCGGTGCACACTAGGCAAGGGGCTGAACTGGGCTTCCGTGCTGGAGGAATCCCCTTCCGGTGACCATGGTGTGGCCGTCAACTCCTGGGTTTGCTTGCTGACCGTCGCCATTGAGGACCGGTGCCCAGAGCAAGGTGGTCAGTGCCAGTAACAAGGGGACTGGTGCCGGGGGGACTAGAGACGCGACGAGGAGCACTCCCAATATGCAGGACCTGCTCCTAGAGGGTGAATGGCGTCGATAGTATGGAGACCAGTGTTTTGCTCTAGGCAATCTGCATCAAGACGGCGGTGACCACGAACAAGGCACCGGTGAGCAAGGACGAGCCCCAAAATGTCTGGGCTGCAACTCTGGCAACCTATGGCGTGGAGGCAGAGCGCGCGGCTTTGTCTCGGGGAATTGGCGGCGCCCCCTGCCCCCCCGAGGGGTCTTAGTGGCTGGCTTGCCCTCTTAGGGAGCCTTTGCCCATTCCTGGGGCACGTGCTGCACTGATGGTGTGGGTGGAGGCCTGTGCTATGTTGACACTAGAACAGCCTGTGAAGGTGTTGGTCTTGCCAGGGTTTTTGGTCCCAAGCCGCCCCTGGGAGTCGAGCTTTCATGGGGTTAAGGGTCCCAGCTGGCAAGGAGTGAGCATGTGGCTCCAGAGTGGCCAGACAGGCTGAAGCGGGTCCTTTGCCCGATGGCCCATGGCACTTTTGCTCGGTGCCAGGGAGCCATGCTTTTTAGTCTTCTTTTGGGCACCAACGATGGGGAACAGTGCCAAAATACAATACAAATAATAGACAGACCTATATGCATAGTACAACAGACATTGCAGAACAGTAGCTATTGTACACCAGTAACCAGAGAAAAATAGTTATATATTGAAACATAAAACACAAAGTACAGGGCATCGTTACTTTAAAATCAGAGAGAAATCTTACACTAACACTGAAGATATTTGAAATGATTGTATTACTTACCAAACCAGCTATTGGAGTAGACAGACGATTGATCTTCTTAATGATGCCAGGTTTGATCTTGTTAATCAAACTAAAAATGAATGAAAACATTAACCATATATGCTATGCTATTATGGAATAATGTTAACATTTTACCCTAGGCATACAAAAAAATAAAAAATGTTTGTGAAAAATTGTTTCTACATATTTCTGATTTAAGTTTGAACCTATTAAAAAGAGGATCTAAAATAAGTTTATACTCAGCCTTTCCAAACATAAAAAGCAATCAGTCACAAACATAATCAAGAAGCAAGACTGCTGAGAATGGCAGAGAGAAGGCACAAAAGAAATAAGACATGCATAGGTAAGGGAAAGAAATGGATTCAGGTTCTTGCCACAAAAGTGGAGATTTTCATCAGAATCTAAGCTCTTCTGTTAAAAAAAAATTCTTCTGGCTGAGAAGATACCAGTATTTTAAATTTTCAGGCTGAAAAATATTTAGTTTGCACGGCACACACTATAAACATCACTATCAGATTAACTGAAAAAGAAAATTAATGTTTGTAAAATGGCTGTTTGTACACAAATAGCCAGTCTTTCATAATCAGCACAAAGAAAAAAAGGTTATCACTGAAAAAGTGTGTCAACATTTCTTTAAGATATGGTCAAAACTCAATGTTAAATATTTCAAAGCTTACGTTTGTCTAAAGCACACACCCAATGGAAGTCTGTAAGACTCAGTTTTAATACATTATGTCATTCACAATACAAAATAGGCTTCAAGAACCTGATTTTCAAAATCAAAAGCACGTAACTAGCATCCTTTTAAGCATATATGTGCAAGTCAGGTATTCATGCTTACATAGTCAAGCAATTGAGCCAATTACTCCCTTGGAGAATAATTAAATAATATTTTTATCATAAAAACGTCATGCAATTGTACTTTATTTAGGATAAAAGTTAAACAAATCATTAGGATAGCAAAACATATCCCTTTTTTAAAGGGTTGGAATAACTAAAGGGGTGGGGAAATGGTTCAGTGGTTTATTCAATATAATTCATTAGTCCTGCATCTCTCTCATCCTGCTGCTGCCTTCGTGTGGACAGATCACTGCATCTGCACAGAGCACCAATGATGCCTATACGGTTCTGTGGGATGCACATAAAGAGGCAGTTGCAGAAACAAGGTCTTAAAACTACCTGCTCTGCACAGATTACTTGCCCCTGCAGTATAGATTTAATAGAAAAACTATTAAATTCCAGTAATGAGTTGGGAAGGATAGGAAGAAAGATACTTTCCCTTCTTGAAAATCAGGTGGAATTTTAAGGCTTCAGGACTATTGGTATTAATATCTCAACATTTCAGTAAGTAATCACTAAAAATAAGAGCATTTGAAGATTTTTTTAAAAAAACTCACACACACACTGTTGGGTGGCTTTTCAAAGAATTATTTAGCTTCTGAATGCAACATTTTCATTTGTCTGTTTTTGATGCAGGTGGTTTAGAACATAGGACGGCCTACAAATAGTATGACAAATGGATTTACCTTTATGGACTACCCACAGCAAATTCAATGTATTACAATGAGAATTCAGTCTCCTTTACCTCAACCATTGCAGCAGAGCCACTCTGAAACAACTTAGTAGTCTAGTATTTATTTTACTATTTGAATTTTTGCCCCCTATTGTACCACAGTGGAAATACTGTAGCTGGAAAACTTTGCCCATTTTACTCATAAAACCACCTTTCCTTCTACCTCTGAATATATGAAATTGAGATAGCTTTTAAATTATCTATAAATCTTAAATGAAGACTGAAACAAGTTAGTGCAATGTAACTACATTTTCAGAAAGCATTTTTTAAAAAAAGAATGTTGTATGCTAAGTCAGCCTGCTCAGCAGAATTAATTTCAAGATGTATTTTACTGCATACTGCTATTAATGAGAGTTAAGCTGATTAGCTTCAGAAGAGAGCTCCCATCTGCCAAGTGCAAGTTATTCTTCCATTATTTTGCCAAACATGACAATAATGACCACACTGCACCTTTCGGGGTCGGGGGGGGGGGGGGGGGGGGAGACATTGTTTGGCTTGGCAGGGGAATAGCGCAGGAAATAGCGCTTTACAGGCTGGTGGAGCAAGGCTCAGAAGCTGCTACAAAAAGGGGAGTGGGTCAGAGTAGTGATGCTGACACATCCCCAGGGACCAGAAGGACTGGGGAGTTTAAAATGGTCAAGTCCAGTGGGAGAAGTCCCTTTTCCCCAGACCAGGGGGAGCAGCACCCACCCTCCCTGCACCTGAAGTGGCAAAAATTACCAAGTTTGGTGAGGACCTGCTGTGGGCATTGCACTAATTATGGCTTTCTAGGGGGACTGGGAAGGAATTTTTCCCTCACCACTATCTTGGCATAGGTGGAGGGGATTTTTTTCACTTTCCCCACAGCAAGTTCAGAGAGGGCTTTATTATGGTGAGTAGGGAAGGGTGTTAGGCTATGGTGTCACAACTCATTGTGTAAGAGTGGGGTGGACGTCCAGTGCAGGTACTCCATAGGAAAAGCACACAGTGACCAGATAAATGGCTTGGAAAAGTATGTAAAATGGAGATGTTGGTTAAAGGAACAGAACCAGGTGGCAGGGGGCACATATCAGGGCTCCTATAACTGGCACGGCAGGGAACCAACCCGCTTTCTCATAGCCCACCCACCTTAACCCTCGTTGGGGGAGGGGGAGGGAATAGTAAGGTCCCAGCAATTGGTTGGCTGGGGAACCTCGATGGAAAAAGAGGCGGGGCTGGCAGAAGTCTCCCCAGGTAGATATTGAACAAACACGGAATTACCTACACTGTACAATTTTATCTGCCAGGTAGTCCCGGACAATAATAAAGTTGTGACCGGATTAAAACCATATCGAGTGTCTCCTGACCTTCTTTTGGTATAGCTGGATGATGAAGCTAGCAGAAGATTTTAGAAAATATCTGTTCAGAGTTCTAACGCTGAAAGAAACATTTTAGCTTTATTTTTAAAGCTCACACCTCGTTTTTGAATCCACACTTCTCTCTCACTATATTTCCAAGACTCCATCTAACTGTTCAGTTTGTTTTTTAAAACAAATCTTTCAAATTCATGATCATTTTGAACTAATTAGTTGTTACTGCAATGTAAGAAGTACACTTTAAAAAGATATAAACCACGTATTTTATTGCATCAGCTCTTGTTCTACTCCAGGTTTCTCAACATTTTTCTTTCTGAGGCCACCTCCCCAATATGCGAAAAAGTCCACGGCCCCACCTTTGCAGCAACAACTGTTTTTCTGCATATAAAAGACAGGACCAATGTTGGGGGAGGGGGTGCAAGCAGGGCAATTGCCTGGAGCCCCACGCCACAGGGTTCCCTGCAAAGCTAAATTGCTCAGGCTTCAGCTTCAGCCCCAGGTGGCAGGACTCATGGCCCGGGGCTTCGGCTTTTTTCCCTGAGCCCCAACAAGACTAACACTGCCCCTGCTTGGGGGATCCCCTGAAACCTGCTTGCAGGCCCCCAGGGGGCTTCAGACCCCTGGTTGAGAACCACTGTTCTACTCAACATCTGATTGAAGCAGCATAAGGAAAGGACAAGTTCTCCATCTCTACTGTGGTTTTTACTTTTAAGAAATCATAATTCATTGTTCACTTTGCTGGTCAACTCCTGTATCCCGCAGGGGAAGATGGAGGAAGCAGCCAGAAAAATAGAATGGGAAGGAGAAGAGAGTGGAATGAATAAATAAATAAAAATAAAAGACAGAAAGTAGAGAGAAGACAACAAATAAGGACAATGAGAGAAATGCAGAACAAGTTGCACTGTTTCTGCACTTTCCATAATCATTGTTTATGGTATGTACAGAGAAACTTAAAGGCTTGGAAATACATATTTTGGTAGCCCATGTAAACTAATATTCCCCCATGCTAACTCATCTAAAAATAATTTGGAGAGACAAAGTGCAATTTATTTTTTTTAAAATATTCTACTAGGAATTCCTCTGCTCCCACCTAGATATTTCCCAGTGTTGTTGGCATTCTGATTACTTTTACTCCTGCCCTAAAATCCTTGCGGATTAATGCTGCTTGCAGTCCTGGGATCTTGCACTGCTGGAGTTTTCTTTTTCTTTAAAAAAAATGCAGGGACAGGGTGAAAGTTCTGGAGTACTTGTGGCACCTTAGAAAGTTCTATTACTCTGACTCACTGTTAGCTCCATGCCAGTAACTTGGAAGTTTCCTCTAGAAACATTCCAGCTACTAGGGACAGCGAGCAATCATAGAAATAGTCAAGCTGATCGTGCAGTTATTTAAGTCAATAGAGTGAGTGAAGAAAGGAGGAAAATTTATACCACATCATCTGTGTCAATGGCTCGTTTGAACTAAAACTATTCATATTGATTTAGAGTGCTTTAACATTTTTTAATTTTTCAAAAATAAATTAGAAGAGAATTTTGAAACAAAACAAACAATCAAATAAATCAAAATGTTTAGACTTCCTTGGAATTCCGGTGGTAGGGTTTTGGTTTGTGTGTGTTTTGGTTGGTTGTTTTTTGGTTTTTTTAAAATATGAACAATTTGGCAAAAACAAGGATTCACAAACTATTTTGTTGCTTCCAAATCAGCATTTTTTGCTAAAAATAAATTTGGATGAAAAGTTTCACCCAGCTCTAATAGTAAGTACCACTTGGAGAATATTACTGTTTCCCATCACCTTCCATCTTCGACAGTGTGGTCTCAGACTGCCAAGTAGTATATTTAATCTAATTTGCTCTGACAGATATTGTTTGCAGCCAAGGAAATATCAGTTGAACAAAATATTTGAGAGAAAAATTGGTCAATTTCATCTTCATTAGTGAATAGGTGATATATTTAAGCTATGCAGTTTTTACATTAATAGCAAACATTTTCCATACTTACTCGCACAACAGGACTCCGTTTTCTAAAGCTGCTCGAAAATCTTTGGTTCCAAAACTTTTCCCAGTGACTGCCTGTAAAGCAAACAACAGTGTTAATTTGTCTTTTAAAAATAAATTACAACCGGGCTAGCAACAGATTGAGAAGTAGTATTACAAGACTCAGGACTTCACAGTCATAAATTTATATCCATAGAGTTCTTTGGAAGTAATATCAATAAAAACTTAAACATTCAAAGGAATGCAAGTTTGTTTTTTTATACCTCATAAGAAGAGTTTACATTTAACTATATCAGGAAATTCCATCTCCTTCAGCATGAACCAATTTCCAGCTACACACTGGGAATAGCTACCGTTATTTTCTAATGTAAACGATTGCTGTGAAGTGTGCAAATCATGGTAAATTTGAAACAGAAGAACTAAACAATTTCCATGTTTCCCAGCTATTTTCACAGTTTGCATACACACACTTTGCTAAAACTATGATACATAATACAGTGCAGAATTTTCTAGACAGCGGGTTTTTCAACTATATTTGTAAAAGAGAAATTAAAGCTTGCTATCAACGTTTGACTTATTCCATCCAGCCTTTACTCAGTATATCCAATCTGATACCTATTTCTAGGATGAGTCATGGATCTTTACTGATGTGACTTTTTAAAAAAAATTAAGGTGGGGAAAGGGAAGTTAGTAAATTAAAGGGGAAATGGAAAAAATATAAAGCTTTTAAGGACCTGATCCTGCAACGATAAATGTGCATAACATGTGAGTAGTTCCACTATCTTCAAATCATTGTTCCTAAATAACCAAATGAGAATTTACATTTAAAAAAAGCTTTCAGAAAGTTAAGTTTTTAAATTATTTTTAAACTGTGTTATGTCATGTTTATTTCCAAAGTGGCTATTGAGACAAACAAACCAGATTATCAAATAGAAAAATGAATACATTATGAAGCTCTTCCTGTTTGTTTGGTAGGGTGTCATGTGTTATTCCAGAATTCACAACAAATAACTAGGCAGGAAGACAGAGTGTTCACTTCTAGATAAGAAGCTTCAAAACGATAAACATTCAGGGTATGTCTACACTACGGAATAAGGTCGAATTTATAGAAGTCGTTTTTTTAGAAATCTGTTTTATATATTCGAGTGTGTGTGTCCCCACAGAAAATGCTCTAAGTGCATTAACTCGGCGGAGCGCTTCCACAGTACCGAGGCTCGAGTCGACTTCCGGAGCATTGCACTGTGGGTAGCTATCCCACAGTTCCCGCAGTCTCCACTGCCCACTGGAATTCTGGGTTGAGATCCCAGTGCCTGATTGGGGCTAAAACATTGTCGCGGGTGGTTCTGGGTACATATCGTCAGGCCCCCGTTCCCTCCCTCCCTCCGTGAAAGCAAGGGCAGACAATCATTTCGCGCCTTTTTTCCTGAGTTACCTGTGCAGACACCATACCACTGCAAGCATGGAGCCCGCTCAGGTAACCGTCACCCTATGTCTCCTGGGTGCTGGCAGACGCGGTACGGCATTGCTACACAGTAGCAGCAACCCCTTGCCTTCTGGCAGCAGACGGTACAGTACGACTGGTAGCCGTCATCGTCATGTCCGAGGTGCTCCTGGCCACGTCGGCTGGGAGCGCCTGGGCAGACATGGGTGCAGGGACTAAATTTGGAGTGACTTGACCAGGTCATTCTCTTTAGTCCTGCCTGCAGTCAGTCCTATTGAACCGTCTTATGGTGAGCGGGCAGGCGATACGGACTGCTAGCAGTCGTACTGTACCATCTTCTGCCAGGCAGGCAAGAGATGAGGATTGCTAGCAGTCGTATTGCACCATCTTCTGCCAGGCAGGCAAGAGATGGGGATGGCTAGCAGTCGTACTGAACTATCTTCTGCCGAGCAGTCATGAGATGTGGATGGCATGCAGTCCTTCTGCACCGTCTGCTGCCAGCCAAAGATGTAAAAGATAGATGGAGTGGGTCAAAACAAGAAATAGACCAGATTTGTTTTGTACTCATTTGCCTCCTCCCCTGTCTAGGGGACTCATTCCTCTAGGTCACACTGCAGTCACTCACAGAGAAGGTGCAGCGAGGTAAATCTAGGCATGTATCAGTCAGAGGCCAGGCTAACCTCCTTGTTCCAATAAGAACGATAACTTAGGTGCACCATTTCTTATTGGAACCCTCCGTGAAGTCCTGCCTGAAATACTCCTTGATGTACAGGCACCCCCTTTGTTGATTTTAGCTCCCTGAAACCAACCCTGTAAGCCGTGTCGTCAGTCGCCCCTCCCTCCGTCAGAGCAACGGCAGACAATCGTTCCGCGCCTTTTTTCTGTGCAGACGCCATACCAAGGCAAGCATGGAGGCCGCTCAGCTCACTTTGGCAATTAGGAGCACATTAAACACCACACGCATTATCCAGCAGTATATGCAGCACCAGAACCTGGCAAAGCGATACCAGGCGAGGAGGCGACGTCAGCGTGGTCACGTGAGTGATCAGAACATGGACACAGATTTCTCTGAAAGCATGGGCCCTGCCAATGCATGCATCATGGTGCTAATGGGGCAGGTTCATGCGGTGGAACGCCGATTCTGGGCTCGGGAAACAAGCACAGACTGGTGGGACCGCATAGTGTTGCGGGTCTGGGACGATTCCCAGTGGCTGCAAAACTTTCGCATGCGTAAGGGCACTTTCATGGAACTTTGTGACTTGCTTTCCCCTGCCCTGAGGCACATGAATACCAAGATGAGAGCAGCCCTCACAGTTGAGAAGCGAGTGGCGATAGCCCTGTGGAAGCTTGCAACGCCAGACAGCTACCGGTCAGTTGGGAATCAATTTGGAGTGGGCAAATCTACTGTGGGGGCTGCTGTGATGCAAGTAGCCCACGCAATCAAAGATCTGCTGATATCAAGGGCAGTGACCCTGGGAAATGTGCAGGTCATAGTGGATGGCTTTGCTGCAATGGGATTCCCTAACTGTGGTGGGGCTATAGACGGAACCCATATCCCTATCTTGGCACCGGAGCACCAAGCCGCCGAGTACATAAACCGCAAGGGGTACTTTTCGATAGTGCTGCAAGCTCTGGTGGATCACAAGGGACGTTTCACCAACATCAACGTGGGATGGCCGGGAAAGGTGCATGATGCTCGCATCTTCAGGAACTCTGGTCTGTTTCAAAAGCTGCAGGAAGGGACTTTATTCCCAGACCCGAAAATAACTGTTGGGGATGTTGAAATGCCTATATGTATCCTTGGGGACCCAGCCTACCCCTTAATGCCATGGCTCATGAAGCCGTACACAGGCAGCCTGGACAGTAGTCAGGAGCTGTTCAACTACAGGCTGAGCAAGTGCAGAATGGTGGTAGAATGTGCATTTGGACGTTTAAAGGTGCGCTGGCGCAGTTTACTGACTCGCTTAGACCTCAGCGAAACCAATATTCCCACTGTTATTACTGCTTGCTATGTGCTCCACAATATCTGTGAGAGTAAGGGGGAGACGTTTATGGCGGGGTGGGAGGTTGAGGCAAATCGCCTGGCCGGTGGTTACGCGCAGCCAGACACCAGGGCGGTTAGAAGAGCACAGGAGGGCGCGGTACGCATCAGAGAAGCTTTAAAAACCAGTTTCATGACTGGCCAGGCTACGGTGTGAAAGTTCTGTTTGTTTCTCCTTGATGAAACCCCCCGCCCCTTGGTTCACTCTACTTCCCTGTAAGCTAACCACCCTCCCCTCCTCCCTTCAATCACCGCTTGCAGAGGCAATAAAGTCATTGTTGCTTCTCATTCATGCATTCTTTATTCATTCATCACACAAACAGGGGGATGACTACCAAGGTAGCCCAGGAGGGGTGGTGGAGGAGGGAAGGAAAATGCCACACAGCACTTTAAAAGTTTACAACTTTAAAATTTATTGAATGACAGCCTTCTTTTTTTTGGGCAATCCTCTGTGGTGGAGTGGCTGGTTGGCCGGAGGCCCCCCCACCGCGTTCTTGGGCGTCTGGGTGTGGAGGCTATGGAACTTGGGGAGGAGGGCGGTTGGTTACAGAGGGGCAGCAGTGGCAGTCTGTGCTCCAGCTGCCTTTGCTGCAGCTCAACCATACACTGGAGCATACTGGTTTGGTCCTGCAGCAGCCTCAGCATTGAATCCTGCCTCCTCTCATCACGCTGCCGCCACATTTGAGCTTCAGCCCTGTCTTCAGCCCGCCACTTACTCTCTTCAGCCTGCCACCTCTCCTCCCGGTCATTTTGTGCTTTCCTGCACTCTGACATTATTTGCCTCCACGCATTCGTCTGTGCTCTGTCAGTGTGGGAGGACAGCATGAGCTCGGATAACATTTCATCGCGAGTGCGTTTTTTTTTCTTTCTAAGCTTCACTAGCCTCTGGGAAGAAGAAGATCCTGTGATCATTGAAACACATGCAGCTGGTGGAGAAAAAAAAAGGGACAGCGGTATTTAAAAAGACATTTTATAAAACAGTGGCTGCACTCTTTCAGGGTAAACCTTGCTGTTAACATTACATACATAGCACATGTGCTTTCGTTACAAGGTTGCATTTTGCCTCCTCCCACCGCGTGACTACCCCCTCAACCTTCCCCCCTCCCTGTGGCTAACAGCGGGGAACATTTCTGTTTAGCCACAGGCAAACAGCCCAGCAGGAATGGGCTCCTCTGAGTGTCCCCTGAAGAAAAGCACTCTATTTCAACCAGGTGACCATGAATTATATCTCACTCTCCTGAGGATAACACAGAGAGATAAAGAACGGATGTTGTTTGAATGCCAGCAAACATACACTGCAATGCTTTGTTCTACAATGATTCCCGAGTACGTGTTACTGGCCTGGAGTGGTAAAGTGTCCTACCATGAAGGACGCAATAAGGCTGCCCTCCCCAGAAACCTTTTGCAAAGGCTTTAGGACTACATCTAGGAGAACCGCAAATGCCAGGGCAAAGTAATCCTTTCACATGCTTGCTTTTAAACCATGTATAGTATTTTAAAAGGTACACTCACCAGAGGTCCCTTCTCCGCCTGCTGGGTCCAGGAGGCAGCCTTGGGTGGGTTCGGGAGGTACTGGCTCCAGGTCTAGGGTGA